TAATTGATTTTATGCTCACCATTTTCAAATAATTTATACATAAAACACGTCATGTAATTAGTATATATATACATATATATATATATATATATATATATATTTATTATATAAGATGGCAAGCGAGATCCGCGTCCTGCAATATTAACTTTTTTCCCCGAGTTTTCAACGAAGTGAAATCTCAACTTTTATTTACTCGGGCTGCTCTTCTTATTGCTTCCTGCATGTACCTTCCGCTGTTCGTTTCGTTTTCCGCGTTTTCTGTTTGCATACACTTCTGCTGCATAGGTTTAAGTTCGAAGAAGGAAAGCTGAATTATATTTATTGTACTTCGATCATAATTTAGTACATCCACTCTAAGAAAATCGTATGCCGTGAAAATAAGATTCATAAAATCCGTGGAAAAAAAATTGGATTTGAAAAACGAATCTATACATTGAACATATGATATTTGAAAATAATGTTTACCTCCAATATTTTTCTTTTTTATGTTTTCATTAATAGTGATCGCTTAAAGTACAAGATACGTCAAATCTGTACCCACAATTAGAATGAACCTGTGGACCAATTCTCGAATAAGATATCAATGTTCATCTCCCATATGATAATATAAATTGTTTTAAATAATAATATGTTAAATTCTTGATATTCTTGGTATACATATTTTACTCTGACACATCATGTCATCTTGACTAGCAAAAGGGCATACTCTTAAGAGCATTTATCTAATTATTTTATACTGCCAACAGCTCAAAAACTAACCTCCAAATAGCACGAGATCTGAAGATTGATCAATAATAATAAATATTGGAAGAAAATACAAGAAAATGTCTGTACGTGTTAATAAATTTAGGACCAGTTTGGCGGATATGACAAAATCTCCGATACAACTCCGTGAGAGGAGTTATATTCTCGAATATAACTCACTCCGGAGTTAACCAATTTTACTATATAGCATACTTGATAAATACATTGAAGATCAATAACATTTCATAGACCACCATAAAAGTTTCGAAACTTTATTCTATTCATATCCAAGTTTCTTCCAAGGGCTGAGTCATGTAATCTATTCAGCTCGAAATCGGCTTCGAGTTCGCACATCGCAATTGCATTTAACAGTGAGGCGAGACAACAAATTGTTCTAAGTTATTTCTTTGAACAACTAAAACGCTTTATATATATAGTCTTTAGTATATCTCAAGTGTTATGTGACTCTCAATAGCATAAGCAAATTGAATGCTTTGTTTACTACAAATTACACGGAAACTTTGTCGTTGCAGGATCGACAAGGACGTAGAAGACAAGTTGTTCCTTCACACGCCTATCAGGAACAGTAATTTTGCAAACACTTTTTTATGTTAACTTCATGTATTGGTACTTTCATGACTTCGTGGATCAAAAAACTTTGGTTCTGTTACTGGAACTTTTAAAAAAGTTCTGCTCATTAAAGCTTGTATGTAAGTAAGCCCCAAAGTTCAATAAACGTATCTGGTTCCATTTAGAAGTATAGTGAATTCTAATAAAACACAATTATTACTCGTCCAGCAATTTGCCTCAAGACACGATGAAATACACTACTAGTTTGTATTTAATTTCATTCAATCTAATTTTCTGAATCTTCCCGAATATCACCCCAAAATCGAAGCAAAACAAATTTGCGATGCTCAAATGTTTATTTGCTTTCAAAACCGAGTCCTAATATAATTACAGTGCCATACCTTGGTATATAATTTACCGTTTTGAAATGCGGGTTAGTGGTAAGACTATTTAAAGGAGTTGCCAAAGACGAAACGGCGCCTTCTTCTTATTAGGTATCACATTAATAATTCTTTGTGAAATTTACACGAAAGCGAATGTAATGGGATTAAATATCGCGTCCTTGTATACATTAAAACCAAAGGACTCGCTCTGCTACGAGAGCTTTTGATCCTGAATGATATTAAAATCAAAAGCGTTGCAATGCTTTAGTGAACTTCTATGCAGCTTTCGGAATTCCGATAGTGAATGTATAGATTATTGTGCGAGGGAATTTTGGATATTAATTGTAGAAGAAATCCTTTGATATAAAGTATTAATCATCACGTGTCTTAGGAATAGAGGAGTGATAGATATGTTTAATGCCATGTAACTTTTCAAAAATATATCTCCATCGCAATAAATTAAATATTCACGAGTAAAATAATTAATAACAAAAGCAAAACTTTCCATAATTTTGATTGTTTACCAGTTCAGTTATTCTAACTCACTTAACTAAAGCCCTGTCTTTAAAAATTATTGAGCTTTTGAATTAAATTGAAAAAATCATTAATATTGATGTATATTACATTTACTATTTCTCATATTATGTAGAATCAACATCAACAAGGAATTTTCAGCAGTAAACAAGGCAAAGTGGAACGCATTTCTTAAAAATCTATGCTGATTGGGGTATTTCACTCGCTGATACTTCTAATACAGTTCAACGGAAAACCTACATATGCTATTCGCAACTATAATAGCTACATGTAACAAAACTCGGAATTATAAGTTAGAATTGAAAAAATATGATTTGGTACAAATATGTTCATATTTACTGATACGAATAAATTTTAATAATCATAATAAATTGAACATTAACGAATAATATAGTTATTTACATAACATCAACGCATTTTGAATAACACCAATATATTATTTTTCATCAAAAACGTTGTATAATTTTGATGGTTTCCCAGTCAAATTATGCTAACTCAATTATACAGTCTAATTATTGTATTTTCTAAAACATCAAATGCTAATTATGGTAGCCGATGATGGTTACATTGGCGTGAAAGCAGAACCTTTCAAATGACTAAAGAGTATATGATTCAATTTCATTGTGTGTAATCATCATTGTGTGTAAAGTTCGAAATTTGTAGTAATTACTGTATATTTATTAATCTGTATAATTAAACACAGTTAGAATTAACACCTACATTAAATGGGTGAGGTTTTATTTACCGCAAAACTGTTATACGATTTTGAAACGCGAAATTCACCATATATAATTAAATTATGAAGTAAATTTTGAACTTTGTAACAAATATTATATTTAACATCATTGGACTCTCTTTTTGTAGTAGAAAATGACCTAGCTTGCTTCTACTATATGCTAAGTCCTGCCGATATTCTAACGACATCCTCTCGTCGCAAATTTCCTTTGGCTGAAGTAAAATTAATTTTCTTTTCGACGAAGATAAGTATTTGATGTAACCTCCTCGGCAACCATTCCTGCTGGTCTTAATGTGGATAAATGCTAAGTGACAATGATTGATAACCGATAGAGAAAGACTGACGCGCCAGTCAGATTGATGTACCAGGAGACGTCGCATCGGATAATGTTTTATCATCTTAGGGCTTAACGATAAGTTTGAGGATAACGTTTTATCTTGGACTTATGTGGGTGCCAGTTTTAAATTTGAGGATATATTGATTATGGAGAAATACGTAATTATTTCCGGGTACAAGATAATTGATTGTACTCCGCGTTCCAGGTATGACATCATCCCAGAAATGGATTAGGAGCAGTTTGGATTAGGAGCAGTTCACTGGCAATGAGAATTTGTCATACTAGATTCAAGTAGAATTAACAAATTAAAATATTTCAATAACTTTGACGAGTATATTCGTCATGCCTATAAAGCAGTAACCATTTGCTATTTGAATTAAAATTTTTAAAAAGAACGTCCAAACAAGCGTTAAGTAGATCAATGTATTTTAAAGGAAATCTGATTATTTTTTGTGATCACTATCAATCCTGAAACAATTAATATCAAAGTCAACTTTCAAATTCTCCGCATTCCAAAATAATTGAAGTAGTTCCAAAGAACCAACTCCTTCATCTTCCTCTGATTATAATTTATAGCCACAGTAATTAAAATATAATCGCGCCAAGCATATTCGTGTATTCTTCTACATTATGTCGGGCAATAAATTTAATAAAACGATCACGGAAGTGCTGAAGTAGTTCAAGTAGAGCTTAAATGAAATTTCTGAGTGAAATGCAAATAAATTACCCACCCATTTGTAATTGAGTTGAGTAAGTTAATAAGTAGTCGAGTTAACATCTAGACCACAGTTGGCTATTTGCAACAATAGTACGTCTGCGTTTAATTTTTAATTTAATTGGAGAAGAAACAGGATTAAGGCCTTTGGGAGTAAATTGTGAAACTGACTGAATTGCATTTTAGGCCGAACACTTAAAATTAACGAAAAGGCAAATTTTTGCAGAAATCGAGCGAAATGGTACACAATCCAGAATTGAAATATCGTTTTGACACTATAATAACCCATTTCATACATACGTACATATATTGTAATTTTTCTGATTTCGCTACCAAATTTGCTGCTATTTCATACGATATAATATGTCTCGACATACAGATATAGGAATGAATTGAACTTTTCTGTAAAATAGTGCCACTTGTGTATTACTTATTCATGACACACTAAATTACAAAGCTCTGTCATGTTAATATTTCAAATTACCAAATTCATTCTCTCTATTATCCACTACCAAACCGTATCTTCAAAGCACAGTATACAATTTGCAAGAAAAAATTCCAAATATATTACTATTTCAGAGTCGTTTTAATAAAATTGTTTGCATTTAAAGCGAAAAATAAGAGATAGAGCATGCTCAAAGCTTTATTGCGAAAGTTCAATTACACTTTCTGAGTTATATATCCAAGTTATAAATAGAGTCGACATTTTTCCCAAGCAAAATGAGTTTTTGTCATTAAACTTTTTGTTGTTTGTGAGAGCTGTCTAATCAACGGAACATTTTCAGTCAGATTAAGCAGGTTATAAATATAAATTGTTCTCCTAATTGAAAACTTTATTTATAAATTGAATTAGATAAAACGAAAAAAAATGTTCTTGCTATTAATGAGAGTATTATTAAATTAAAAACATTTTCGGCGCAAAACTTTTTCGTGAACTTTGATATTTCGTTTATAATCTTTTGTAATTAGTTGTGTACTCACCGTCTCTTTGATGTCTGTCCAGATTATTTGTATTTTTCTGAAACAAAACAAAAAATAAATTAGATGTTTTTGGAAAAAATATTCCATACAAGGCTATTATAATATATATATATATATATATATATATATATATATACTCGTATATATATATATATATATATATATATATATATAACTGAGGCGGTCAGGTATACAGTATACTTGATGAAAAATGTTGATTAATATGTCACTTATTATTTTTATGTTTTGATTTTTATCACAATTGCTTTTCATATACATTTCATAAAGATTATACGGTTAATGTGATTCTGAATAAATAAATTAACTTAAACTTAAACGTAAAATATATTTACAGAAAATGACCTGAATTAAAATCAGTTAGTAGTATATTTTAAAACTTGTATTCATCATATTTTTGCGGAAATGTAACTAAAATCAAAATCGGACAAAAAGTTCGCCAGAACAACATTTCATTATGAATGAGAGTTTTCGAGCTTTCGTGCTTTTTCACGGACGCGCTCTAATAAATACGAGCGGCAAACGCAACGGACGCAGCGGCAATAATAAGCATAAATTGCAAGCAGCAGCATCCGCCTGAACTGTCGTCACTGACCCGGGCTATAAATTAGGTAGTTTATCACTGTGCTCCGAAATAAAAGTTTGAATTTATTCAAAACAATAATAAATTTAGAAAATTAACAGCATATTACACGCATGTTATGAAATATACAAGCACAAGTTATGAAATATACTTTAGTAATGACAAAAATGCTTCTTTAAAAGAATTGTTTTAGAATGAAATTAATTTTTTCTTGGATTATTTTTGAAAATAAATAATGTGTGATATCAAATCCTACTTCAATTTCTATAGAAAGTAAGAAAATAATTACCAAATAATTAGTGCTATTGCAAAAAATATAAAAACAGTTGAGTATCCCTTTTGGATTTAGCCTAAATATTTATATTGTTGTAAAACGTTCAGATTTTTTTTACATATGTTTTATCCAATTGTGAAAAGTATAATCATAAATTATTATACTCGCACATTGAAGATGACCGACATAAAAATGCAAATTGCAAATAAGCGCTGACCAAGAATCATAACGGCTGACCACTGGGCTTCCACCGGCCTACTAATGAAGTACGCGCAGTAGTCTCAGAGCAGAATTTGAAAAAGAAAACAGAATTTGAACAGAATTTGAATAGAATTTTTTTTAAAATAAAATCACAATGAATAGTACTTTCGGCCGCCTTCAAAGAGTTTGAAAACTAGAAGAGGGTATTGTGGGATCAGAGTCAGCCTTGATTAGGCATCAGAAAGAAACAATATAGTCATGACAATTACGTTTTTCAAAATCGATAAGATTTTTTTAATTTTTTTTTTCATTTGTAAGGAGTCTCTTTATAAATTAATATACATTTAAAATAAAACCAAATTTTGAACTCAAATCAAGCGAAAATTTAAAAAAAGTATCAGGTTGAACTGTGGAGATCTCAATGAAATTACACGTGTATTTATACGAAAAGTTTCTGAATCTCTTTTCTAAATCAAATATTTACTTGTACCAGCATAAATATATGTTTTGAAAACGCAAACCGTGAAAAATATAAAAAATTGAATTAAAAACTGACTTTTGTTACCACAGAATTTATGCCCGACGCTTTCGCGTCCGTATTCAAAGGGATGTTTGTATCATTGTCAGCGATTCGTGGTTTTGCTTTATGTTAATGAGCGAGTATTGTGGTCTTGATAAAATTATACATAAATTACAAATGCTTTAAATATATAGAAATGAATAAATCAAAAATTAATAAAAATGTAATATGAATATACATATATATTTGTGATCTCAGAGACTCAAAAAACTGGTTGTCGATAAAAAAAAATTGATTTATCTTAGCATAATAGAAATTTCTGCACATATCATTTATGAGAATGTAATTCAAAAATCAAAATAATAAACTGCTTAGCAAATGAATGAAGAAAACAAGTCCAATGAATATAGTTTAGGTTGTTCAGAAGTCATATAGTCTATTATTGTGAATTACGATAAGCAAATGAAGGATAAGAAGAAAACCAATTGTATGTCTCCATAAAATTCACAAAAATGGCTGCACAAAATTAAGATCCACGATTGTGCTTCCAATTTATTTCAATTTCCTTATTTCTAGAAGGTCATTTAAATTTCTCATCCGAGTGGTGGTACAAAACCGCTCGTTCTTGGCCTCGCCATTCACGTCAAAGACATAAGAGGCGAGTTAACCGGAATGCCACAAACACTGCAGTTCGCATTTAATGACAATCCGTGCAAAGTTATTATGATGCAACTTTCTGTAGACTCGACTCTGATGGCTTAATTGAATGTACAAGCGGATTTTATGATTATGTACGTGCAAGTTTATGAACTGCTTCAAACAGTAATAAAGCACTCGTCTAACTGTGATTTTCATCAAAGTAATTGCCGATTATGAAGCACCTATGGTAATGGTTAATAGAAATTGTAATTCATTCGTGATGGTAAAAAATAGAAAGTGTAAGTTTATTTAAGAAAAAAAACATTTGAGACGAAAAACCAAATCTCATGTTGTCCATGAGTTGCGAGTGATATCGACGTGACATCGACAACACGTGACATCGGCAACAGGAGTTAACTGTGAGTTGGATGTTGCTTTTGAGGACATAAAAAAAACAAAAACAGAATATCTATTCATGGCGTTTTCTAATTTTGTAATATTAAGCAGTTTTATACTTGTATATAAATTCTATCTATAATTAATACTTTTCCAATTTTTGTTTATCATGCAAGTGATATCTAGAATATATCCAATCAATTTTATTGGATTTATTTATAATGTTTACCATGTATGCTTTACAATAATTCAATAAATATGTACATAATTCATAAGTCCATATTTATTTACATTATTATAGCATCAGAATTTTTTTTAATACAGGGAACAAATAAAATATTTATGTAACGTCAAATATCCGGAAAAAATCGTTTCAGTTTCCGTTCCGAAGGGATGTGTTGTATATATTCCCCGGAGATAAAACATCGTATGTGAATCTAAACATTTGCTTAAGATACACTCAATAGCCGACATATTAAATCGCGTTAAATCGAACTCAATATGTCGCCTGTGCAAACAGGAATAATAACATTCTTATATTAAAAAACGAATGAATAAGGTGCACAAATAAGTGCTACTCTATACAGAGATTAGATTATGCATTAAATATTTATTGGTGTTACATAATGAAATATTGAATATTTATATAGATTGTTACATATTACATGTTGTCAGACAGCACACAATTTTAGTCGTTTTTTATGTTCAATATAAATGCATGCATCTGCTTTGTAACAAATTTACAACTTTCTTTTGAACATCTAAATCTTCCTTCCACCTCTAATATCTGAAACTCTAAATTACCCAAGTACATGATCTGATGAGACATGTTGATAACTCGACTCAGGAAATATAATAATTTATATACATTATTAAGACAGAATCATCACAGTGAATAAGAGCACTATTCCCTAGGCAATTCTTCCTTTTTCGGCTCATATTACGAATAAGGCACCCGCCTTGTCTTATTTGAACAGATATATTGAGTTATACATATCTGACCTACTGGGGTTGACTAAATCAGTTTTTATGCGATGGTCGAGAAATAATCAAGTTTATATCATTTTATATTGTCTAATATTATTTGTGTTAGGTTAATTGAATCATGGGACTTGGTAAACCTTTTCTTCGCTAGTTCTTGTTATTTTTTTACATCAAATGTTTCTAGTTATTATTTATTTTTATTACAAAACTTTAAAAATTCATTGAAAGAAAACATATCTCAAAGCTTCTGCACAGAAAATTTATTATTCTAAGAATTTGCCGACTCGCATGCATTCAAATGCAATATTTTTCTGCCCTTTATTCATCAAAAGTCGAAAGTACTGCAATGAATTCAGTATAAAAAAACGTTATGAACGCAAACTGACTTCCATATGAAAATAAACTCTACCTCATATACTAGGTTAAAACATACATCATTTATCAGGGGTTGGAAACCGGGTAAAATATATATCTGTATATAAATACAGATACATCGTTTATAAGATAATAATAATAAAAATGTGTAAATTTTTTGTTAACGGTAAGTTCAAATGTTATGAGGAAAAAGCTGTTGTTTTAAATAAAACAAAAATGTTTTTGTAAATATAGAATTTTGTAAATCTGTGAAAACGCAACGGAAGAGCGTTACGCTCGAGTCAATAATTCGTCATTTGCTCTCGATGATATCATTTTCAAACTGATCGATTGTGATTGGTCGTTGTGTCGCGTGAGAGTGTTTGTTGATTGTATTCGTATACGTACATAGTGAATATAATTAAAACAAATAAAAAATCTGAATATCATTAAAATCCTAGAAGACTAAATCTAAGGTTGCTCTTGTTAGTTTTTTTATATTTTTTGCTGGCTTCGTAAACACTTGTTAGTTAATTTTGATCCTTATTCCTAATATAATTTTAAAATCAAAATTAAATTTATGTTCTATCATTTATCACGCTGAATGAATGTTTCCTACATCTGTCCTATATCATATCTGCTCGCATGCAAGATTTATAACTAAATATCTGCTTTCCTTCCTAGGGAGTTACGTGTGCAATTCGTTTATTTCCATTTGTTCTTTTGTATATTCAAAGAGTTCTTTTGATCTTTCTACTGTGCCAAAAGGACGTCGTAATAGTCAATTTTACTGTCTTCAGATGTTCAACGTCTCAGTTTTCTCGGAAAAGTGTCGAGGAAAATATTCCGGGCGGTATTATATCTTTTTTTGTAATTGGTCGAGTGGTCTCTTAAATTTATCTTGCACAAATTGGCTTAATAAATAATGTTATGTTTAATTTTTTATTAGTACTCGAAATGGGAAAAATAGAATTATTTGAAGATGCAGTACAAAGGTATAAAGGTCATCTCATAAATTTTTTTATCGTACCTAATTAAGTGTATATGTATAGGTCTATAATATATCTA